TCCTCTTTGTGTGTTGAGTGGCAGCCCTTTGATTGGCCGCTTCCCCCTTTCTGAAAATCGCATCTTTGTATGTTCAATATAAAAAAAGTAAAACGAAAAGAAAAAATAATGTGATGATATGATAGGCAACAGTGGTCAATCGATAAGACCATCGGCAGGTTCTGAGTTCAAAATCCGCTACCGCCGCCAATCCTCCCATTACCTGTATTTCCTCAGGTAACCTTTGTAAGACCGCGGCTGTTCCTGAAAGTGTGCTGTCCATTGCTGTGTTGAATAAACAAAAAGAAGAAGTTAAAAACCTTTATCATTCTTGCATTGATTAATCAAGAACTCATCCATAGTTCTGGTATTTCCTGTCGATGCAAACCTAGGCCCAATGAATGAAGATGAGCATGACCAAAATTATCAAAAAACGCTATTGCGTTCTAACACCATTTATAAGGAAAATAGACACTCGTTGAATAGATTGAATAAGAGAGATAGGATGCCTAGGAGAAATGTTTACTTATGTAAAGATGCAATCCATTGAGATTCATTGTTTGGTGAAGTTTGTTGAACACGGTTTCCATATGTTTCTAAATGGCGCATGCATGGACGTTACTTATTTTCGCACTTTCCAGGGCGCGATCACCCACTTTGGCTCTTACAATGAACTAATTGAGGAAGGAGTGAACTTCCAAACGCTGATATACAATATTCAGCGGCAGGACAATGCAGTACCAGTGGATCTATCTGAAATAAACAAATGTAGGGATGACGAAAACACAGGATCCAAAAGACGAAGCCAGAACATCAGCTTTCAGTCAGAGGATGGTCCCGCATGCCTCGAAGTGGAAGATCTTGAGACTGGTTTGCTATTATCGGAGATGGCAAATCAAGCTGAATCACGGAACAAGTCCCCTGTGACGGATGTCCCAAGTAAAGGCCATCCAGTTCCGGGCTCAATCAATTTTTTACGCGGATCAGAGGATACACAAAATGAATCTTCCGTTGCTTATTCAAGTTCGCAGAATATTGATGATCTGTGTCGCTTCATGGACTCCTCGTGTCGATCAGATGGGGTTGTGAAACGTAAGCGAACCCTCAGTTCCATGGAGCCATCGCGTCGTACTGAACTGCAGAATACTGCCGAGAAATCTCTTCTAACAAGATCCATGTCGCAAGGAGGCTCAAAGGTACACCGTTTTGGAGGTTCTTACCTTGTGGTTTATGTACCATGATTGATTTTCAGTTCGATACCATTCAGGTGAAGAAAGGTTTTATGCACACGTGTTAGCTTTTGTCAAACGGATGATATTCGTTAACAACAAACTAATAACACCCATTTTGATCCGAGACGACCTATCTGGATCATTTCGAATTGGATGTAAGTACAACATGAAAAGAGAAAAATCAGTGCTTGTCAAATGGTTCGACAATGCAAGCGATCATAGTAATCAGTCACAATTCATATTTATTGAAGCTTTCGGTAGTTCAAATACTGACATAAAATAGACGGGGAGAACCCCGATTTCTGATCGCTCCGTACGGTAATCATCCATTTGTGCGAATCTCCTAAGATACCCAGAGGCTCCAGTGGAGACCAGTTTGAGATAATTACATGACATGCAACGGTTATGCCTTTTGTTAGATCACTGAATCTAGTTGAAACTGGAAGATTTTAAATGAAACCTTTCATTTCATGAACGGCATTTTTCTTCTGACCGCAAAGGATCAATTGAGGCCGTAATTTAACGCAGACTTGTCATTTACTTAAATCCAATCCCATTAAACAATTTGGTCAAGTAGAACCAGATAATGTAGTACACATAACACTTTCTTTGTATGACTGGAAACAAAAGCTGTACCGGTTTTTAGTCAAATCAAAGTCAAAATTTTATTATGAGCCATTTAACAAAGCTAAAGCTATCATAAGATTTTTACAGAATTTTTTTGAATAACTTTACAAAGAGAAAACAATAATAATATGCATGATTACTCACAGATGTCAAAATTTTAAGTGTTCCAATGCTTTATCAAGCTGCGATTTACATAATCATACTGTAGGAGCACACTACATCTGATGGGGGAGAATTCCATATGCCGCACACTGCATGCAAATGAGTAATTAGGGTGGCTGTTCTGGGTTTTCAACTTTAATGGGTGTCCCCTGACGAGATCATTTTTAGATAAAGTTAGCATAGAACGGCAAAGGTGGTTGGGTTGATGCAATAGGTGGTATGTCCGTGTGTGACCGATGGCGGAAACAGTGCTATTTCAAACTGCCCGAAAGCACCTTTAAGTAGTCCAACTTGCTTTAGAGCCATGGATGATGCTCTGACACAGTGCGTAGAACATCCTAGGTCCTCCTATACCATAACTCCTAAATCCCTTCTGTCAGTGGTATGCGGTAGCATTTGATTCCCCAGAACATAGCAGAAACAAGTCTTGTGCCGCATAGGAATATCTTTGCATTTGGAAGCGTCGAACCCGATGTCATTGGCGATTGACCATAGGTGGGCTGCATCGATCGTTTGTTGGAGTGCTATATAAACCTCTGGATGTGTTACAGTTCTCCAGATCTTAGCGTCGTTCGAGAGTAGTAGTGTATTAGGCCCAAGCATATGTAACAGGTGATTTATAAATGCAAAAAAGACAGGGCCCTAGTACGGATCCTTGAGGAACCCCTCGGGCAGCGATCAGAGGCTCCGATAGTAAATCACTAACAGGAACTGACATGGTTCTTTGTCGGAGAAACTCTTTGATCCCGGCCAGAACAAAACCTCTTACTCCGTAGTTATAGAGTTTTCGTAGTAGAATTTGGTGGTTTACTCGATCAAATGATTTAGAGAAGTCCAAATAAACTATATCCAATGACTGACATGCATTGGCGGAATTAGTCCATTCATCTCGTGCAAGAGGTCGATTTGTGGTGCATGAACGCTTGTACCGAAATCCGTGCTGAGTTAGAGACAAAAGCTCATGCTTCTCCAGATACTGCATCAACAGATCTGCCACAATAGCTCCCTTGATTTTCGACAGTATCGGAAGAAGTGTCACAGGGTAGTAGTTGGCGGGAGCCCGTTTTTTAAATGGGGGAAGATCACCCCTTTCTTCCATGATTGCGGAATTACTGCCTCGTTGGATATCCTTTGGTAGAGAGCAGCCAGAGGTTTGGAAGTCTTATTGGCTAGCGAAATCAGAGTCCGGGGATGTATGTTGTCTGCGCCCAGGGATGAATTTTTACGCAAAGTTAGTAGTTTTACTCTAACCTTCTCACTGTCGAAAGCCATGTTACCCAGTGACGGGTACGATAGACAGGGTCGTTTACTTGGAATCTGCAATGCTTCGTGTGTCGTTGCAGTAAACACCTGATCGAAGTGAGTTTTGAGGAACTCTACTGCTTCTATAGTGGTAGTTGAAACATTTCCAGACGATTTCAATGCTGTTATTCCGCATTTAACCTTCTTTTGTAGAGTTGATATATTTATAAATCAATTTTGGATTGGAAATGAATTTTTGAGCCAGAGTTTCTCGGTACATCAATTTGTCCTCCCATAAAAACTTGGTACACCGATAAGGTTTAATTATACAAAATTTCGATAGTTAAACATCTGTAATCCCGCCAGGAAAAGTCCTTGTATTCTATCCATTTCTTTGTTCGACTGCGAATGAACGGCTGTCGATTTTTATATTGAGCACAAGTTTTGACACTTGTTGCAGCCATTATAGCTTCAGTAAGATAATTGGTGAAGCTGTTCCATGTCAACAAAGGATCGTGATCGTCTTCTGGGGGGACCTGGGAGGATTGCTTAAATAGTGCCAGGTTTTGTCACTTTTTGTAGTCTATGATGGCACCAGTACTGCTCTCTCGGTTTTCTTGGGTAGAGGCGTAGCCAATATAATCAAAATTCAATACGGCATGATCACTACTTTGTAGTGGAGACCTGACATTGAAAGGTTCCACCATCAGCTCCTCGTTTGTCAGCACTAAACCCAGTGTTGATATCTTTGGCAAAGAAATCTATCTGGGTATGTGGTGTTGTTTCTGCCGACCAACTTGCGGTCGGCTAACATTGTATTTTTGTAAAATTGGCTTCGTCGGTGTTGCTTGGTGAGAGTGGAGTGATAAAAACCGCACCAGTCGAGGAAGGTACCGTGTTGGTATCGGTTTCCGTCTTCGGACTTTGCTGGGATCCAGTATTATTGAATGCCTTATGTGGCAATCAGTGTCCTTGACAAAAGGACAAAGGGTCAACCAAAGGGTTTCCGCAACGAGGACATTTGGGCTGTGATGTCTGGGCTCAATCACACAACCGTGAAGTCAACGTGCAGCTTAACTTTAACTATAAAAACTTTTTTGTTTGAGATTATCGAGATCAATGGGCTTCTCATCAGGACTGTTACACCTTAATTTGCCGTGCACGAATCGGAGAACAACCAACAGTTACCATGATCCATTCAAGATTGTATACTCTACGAGTAAAAAGAAAAATTATGTGTATTTTCATTGCGTCAGTGACGAAATTACTGTCTAGTGGAACTGGTCGATAAATAATTTGTTGATCAGAATCTAAAATTTGGAAAACCGCGATAAACTGAACCGTTATATTTTTGTTTCAGACGAAGGATAGATGATTTGATGTGCGATCCACTCTTCAATAAGATAATTTACCATTTTAAGTTCAGCTATTTATGAAGACTTAACTTTGAGGAATAGGCACAGATAATGGTCTCGTATTTCCAGGAGATATCATCGTCAATATTGCCTATTACAGTTTGATGGCAAGATGATGTCGTCTTGAGAAACCAGCTCTTAGAAGACAAAGATTTGGAAAAGACTGGCGGCATTTTTTACCATTTAATCACTAGCCTACCGTGCTTCAAAGTGGAAACCTTTCATCACTTCTCAGTCTAACCACCAGGCGAAGGTCCCGGTGAACACTGGACATTAGCCTGGAAAACTATCCCAATATCGATCCAAGCAACGGCGGGTTCTGGTGCATTATCAAGTACAAACGTTAATTCTCCTAGTCCTCATTTGCCTTATTGGACGCTTGCAATGCAGTTCCTCCAGGAGCTAAATTTGACATAGTGAGTAAATCTCTTAATAACTTGCTCATCAAGAACCCGATTAGTTACCACGATAAATGGTGCATAGGAAAATTTGAGGAGATGAAGGTGGCTGTGGCTATCAGAAATAGTGCAATGTTTACCGTCCAATAAGGGGTACAGTTGATATCAGTCCCCCATATGAAATGGAAGTTATCCGGGAAATAGGTTATCTCAAAGCTGATATGGCTTTCGGCCCAGGTGGGCTGTATCTGTCTTTTGTTAGAGATCGTGATGCGTCTTTGTGTTGACAAAGCTCCTGCATTCAGCATGGGAGGGGTAACATTTTCCAACTGAATCGCGTTAAAAGTGGACAGGAATAGGCTAAACCAACGTCGTCTCTAAACTTCCAGCTGATATTTTACTATGTTGATTAAATGCTGCGGTTGAACGCTGCAAGTATGAGAATCAGACTGGTTTTAGACCACACTTTCAATTCTTGAACATCGGTTTTCCTTCCCTAGACTCACCATTTCTGTCCCGTTTAGTCCGCACTCTGGCTCGGACTCTTTCTGAGGTTTTTGCCCGGGAAGCCCATTTTGATTCTGAAATTTCTCTATACTAATGACTATAATGGAGTCCGATCTCATGGCTTTTTTCTCTCGAGTTCACGACGGAAAGTGACATTCGTCAGAGTTGCTCTCTCGCCACTTTTCTAATCAACATCGTAGTAGAGATGATTCTGGAAATAGTCATGTCCTCGTCGAGGATAGTGGCATCGACTTTCTCCCGGATGGCACACTGTTCGATCTGGAGTATACAGGTGACATCGTGCTGCTAAATGAAGAACTAGGTACGCTACGGGCTTTTTTGGAGGGCTTTTGTGCTAGTCTAGCATTCGCTATGTACCTTCAAAGTTTAAAACATTATTAAAATACCACATCAGTCCAGTCATCAATCTCACTCTAGCTGGATAATTGATAGAGGAAATGGATCAATTTTGCTACTTGCGCAGCTATATCTCACCTGGCGGTCACATGAGTGAAGTATCGACAAGCATACAGAAGGTTCGATTAGCATTGGCCAAATTAAGACATCGGTGGCGCTACTGCGACATCTGACTGTATATGAAGTGTTTGGCATATGCTGCTACAGATTTGCCAGTGCTGCTTCATGTTGCAGAGACCTGACCATTGCAGGATCAGGATAAAGATAGACTACCGATGTTCACATACCGCTTTCTACACAGCATTGCATGGATCTGGAGAGCAACCGGGTAAGTAATGGCGAGTTTAGGAGTGGAGTTGAAGGTGATCACATTTTCCCAACCTTTGTTTAACTACTTGTCTTCCGTTCCCAACCTTCTCCCTTTACCCCTGTAATAGTCCCTCAAGCAACTTGGATGTCGCTCGCCAAAGGTCATTG